GAATTGGCATTTGTACAAGAGAATTTCTGATTTCAGTCAGTATGATTTCATGCATGGCAACAGTAATACATCAGGAGTGATACCAGTATTAAGCATGTTACGGTATTTTAGATTTGCATGGAACAAACTAAATTATCACCATAAAACAGGCAATATGCATCTATTCACCTCTACTCGAAGCTTATTAAAACCAAACTTATTCCATGGTCCTGCACTCTCACCAGCAAGTTTACTGAAGAGCTTCAAAACGAGATAGGAAGAAGTTGCCAAATCCAAGTCACTTACCCACATGCCACATACTGGTTATTTTTTGAAACAGCGATGCACTTCCCTTCCAAAGAACCTTCATCTTCAAATTTGTGCAGACACTTTCTGCTTCTCACATCCCAAATGAAAACTTCGCCTTCCTCTGGTTGCAGTATAAAGCAGAAGATTTATAGAAACATTATATACAAAACATACTGTTTGTCTATTTTTTAAAAATAAATGTCATCAGATGACAACTATTAAGTCATTTACCACTATCAAATACAGGGTACTAAAAAACCCAAACAACTAAAGGCATACCAAAATAGTTAACTTCATTCTTTAATGATTGATCACTTGGCTGCATTTCTAGGCCACACACTGGCATAAAGTCTTTTAATCATCTCTGTAAAATAATCGGCTTGTAAAATCATGCAATTTAAATGGAATTATGATTAGTGCTGCTAAAGAGAACACTTACTTGAATAGCTATATATTTTACTGCTGTCTGGAGTGAAAGCAGATGCTGTACATCTTCCATTTACTTTCATAGTGCTAACCAGCTCCTTTGTCTACAGATGAAGAACAAAAATGGCAACAATGATTCTACCAAAAATCTGTAGGAAAGTTGTTTCCATGTTCCTGTCCCACAAAAACCTTAAGTTGGCTACACTGACATTAAAACAGCATCAACATTTTCAGTGCCTACAAACCAGAGCACAAGCCAACGCTCCTAAGTCCACGATCAATTTATTATTGCACAACTACAGCTCGTTCAAAAAAAGCTCATTTGCTCCCTCGCTGAAGGGTCTTCCTTGTATAACAGAACTGAACTTGCTTTTTTAGAAGTATTTTTCCTAGTAAAAGTTTAAAACAAACCCAGCTGCCATCATATGACATTTTAAAATGTAACTGAACAAATTCTACATGCATTATGAATCACAGGAGACGGCATGATTCATGAACACGGCACGCCAGCAGGCACTAGCGCTATTCCCAGAAAAGCAGTCCTGTATTTCTTCCGCCCTCGGAGGCCTGTTGCCATGCTGAGGCCATTCCTTTTGCCAGCACAGGATTCCTGCAGCCAGCTGAAATACGACATTGATGGGCAACTTTTTCCAGTGACAGCTTAAAAACCCGTAAAACTCTGGCCTTAGCTCCAGCAGCCCCAAAGAGAACTGCATAGTCAGAAAAAAATCCTCATGCACCTCACAGAAAATAGTTTTCTAAAGCTACAGCTAGTTATTCAGCAGCTCATTTTTGAAGGCTGTCACAGCATGTGTCATACTTCTGTTTTAACTGAAAGCTGGACTGCTTTTTGGATTAAATATAAGCAAGCATATTCAAAAGGAAAAAGGTACCAAGAAGGTGAAGCTACACGAACCATGAAGAGAAAACTACCTTCATTGACAACAAGTGAAGGTAACCTGAAGTTCCAGTTAGAAGCATAAGTGATCCATCTGGAGAGAGTTCAAAATCTCTGAGAAATCTTTCCTCCACACCTTTAAAGAGAGATTCAGAACTTGAAATTGGCAGCATTTATTCTTTTTCCTCAACATTCAGAGGTATGATGAACATGAATAAGACAGTGAGTCTACTTCAGCTTGTAATTTCTGTAATAGTGTCGCAGTAAAGCCACAACTCAACCTTGTTTCTGTGTGACAATTAACTTTTCATATCCCAGCCAAACTCAAGCTAAAGGTAGTCCAGTACAGACCCTTGAAGACTACTTAAAAGTACGACCTCCAACAATTCACTGCACCTCCTTTTAAAGCAAGTTCCTATGCCGTCTCTATTCAGGACAGCTTCAACTACGCCCAGACACTTACAGCACAATAAAACATACCTCTTACTTTCTGTATAGGAATAATACTTCCACTCATCATGTCATACACAAAGAACATTTTATGGTGAGTACCAGTCGCTATAACTTGTTCTCCATCAACACTGAAACGAGCCTTGTAAATTGGAAAGCTCTCTAAATAGATGCTCTGTATTCTGGGATTCCTTATACCATCAACCTTCAAAAAAAAACAGATTATCATATTAAGGAACATACCAAATACTTTTACACAGAAAATTCCTAGCAACTAACCAGCACAAGAGACTTAGGCAGTAAGAGGTACCCCAGGTTGAAGCATTAATCTCTTCCTCTCTTCTCAATCTACAAATACCTTGGCTCTTGGCTCCCCACCCTATGCATCAGGCACTCCCAGCCTTCCCAGATGTACCTCACACCTCTTACCCTTCCCTGGCTTGCCCATACTTCCTTCAAATCATCACTTCTACTGCGCTTTTCTAAATGGAAACGTTCACTTCGCATCGTTCCTTCCCGCAGCGCTGCGGGAGCGTCAAATTCGACTGGAGTCTTTGACCATTTCACTGATACTGGGCGATG